CTGCTATATTTTATGTATACTTATCAAGTAGTATTTCAATATGTATAATGATTAAAAGAAAGGAAAAGTCGGATCCTAACTGATTGTATATAATGTAATCCCTATGAAGGCCCTAACAATTCTTTCTCACTTAAAGTCGTAACCCAAAAAGAGAACAAATTAAACTTCAGATACGTATACAATACTGAATCTAATCCAAAAAATACAAAATATAAAAATAACTTATATATGTACGAAACCTAACTAACTATTTATATTGATATTACGTAAATATACGTATGGTAATGAATATTGTATAATAAAGATATTTTATACCTTGTTCTACATTTGGTTCCATTTATATATACATATACATAGATATATATAATTTAAGGATTCCATTTAAGGATTATAATAGTAGTTAATACTACTACATATAAAGCACAAAAGTGCATCAATAATGTATTTTTCAGTATTATTTAACTTCATTCCTAAGAATTTTCTGCAGTCTAGTTTGCGTTATTTTATTCATAAGTCTCAAATAAAAACAGTTATTGTTTACATGTCATTAGAAAATTAATCAAAAAGCAGCGACCACAATGTAATTGAGAAACAGTCCTTAGCCGTGAAAAGGTTGAAAGCCATTCGGTTATGACTATTATCTCACATACTCAGCTACTTCGCATACATGAAACATAGCATTCGAAGTGAAAAACTCAATATTTACTACAAATTCATTCGTGTAACAAATATCTGTCTTTCTACACCTATGGCTTTAAAAAAAGATGTTATTTATCTTACAGTTTATCGTTAAGTAATAAATTTTCATTGTACAAAATTGCATTCATTCGAAGAATTCAATTTGTATTTTCCTCTGTATAAAACTGAATGTAGAGAAGTTAGATGTTTAAACGACCTCCACATTTTCTTAAGAGCAGGAGCAAAATTATCCCCTACTTTTCAGCCACCCCCCCCGTGAAAAAAAGGGTTCTAAATTTACGACCTGACCGCATATGATGGTATTTCTGATAGTCGACTATCAAGTTCTTAACAAACGGCAAAAGTCTATCAAAAAGAATAGTAGACAGAATTTTATAGTATGTGCAAAGAAGACTGATTCCTCTATAGTTACTACAGTTTAGGACATTATCATTTCTGTATATTATGCAAATGGTACTAAGCTTCCATTTCGTTGGGAATGTCTCACTCTTCGAAATATGTTGAATTAATTTCTTTATAAGCTGTAAGCAGTTAGGTGGCATAACTTTAAATGTTTTGCCGGTATATTATCAGGTCTAGGTGTGTGTGTGTGTGTGTGATTATGGCAAAGTACCGAGAGCTATCTGCCTAAGGGAAGCGATGCCTTCGTGGAAGACTTTCTTAGGGATACTGGCTTGTATACACGTTAAACATGGGAAAAACCACGAAACACCCATGCATCCAGCCCGTTCGCGGGATTCGAACCTCGGACCGAGCTACCAGTGTTCAGCGACTTTACCGCTCGGCCGCTGGGTGGGCTTATGAGGTCTAGGAGATTTTTTTATAGCATTATTCACTTTTATGCACGAGGGGGATCAAGAAGCTCTAAATTTTTGAGCTTCACTCACATATTATTCCATTTGAAAATTCACATGGGCATTCATGTATATGTTAATTACTCTGGATTGCCATTAATATCCTGTTCAAAAATATTTTAATGAAAATATTTTTGTTGCGCTGAGAAATAATATAATTAATAAGGTGTGAATAAATCATATTTTGTTTACAACCTTGTTCGCACTGAGATGCATGAAAGTATTTTTTGTTGCAGTGATAAGTCATATATATTATTTCTTCACTAAAAATCCCCTTTTATTTACACAAAAAACTGATAAAAATTGTTAAAAAACTGGTAAAATTGTTAAAATATTTTATTGTTTAATAATAAAGTGCTTAAAATTAAGTTTGTGAATAAGCGAGAAACTTATTTCAGCTGTCAACAACAGTGCACGAGTTGTTGTATACATGAAACCGTTTTGTGAATAGATTAACCAGTTAAGTAACAAACTGCATTAGACTATATGAAACAAGTGTTTTAAAATCTGTTGGTCAATAAATTCACAAATTTCAAGCATATTTATAAGGCTTATAAAGAGTACCGAGTAAAAATATTTGGTTTCTAGCTAATAAATTTTGTACTTGGCATGCTAAAATTTAAAGAGAAAAATAAAGCATTATCCTGCAGTCCGAACTCTTATTGTTATGTGAAATGAAAGAGAACTAAGCTGCCCCCTTTTACAAAATGCATTTGGCTTTTACAGTATAGGGTTATTACAAATGATTCAAATGAATTTAATTTTTTAAAAAAGTATTGCATGAATTTAATTTTTTAAAAAAGTATTGCAGGAAAGACCTTTGAGATTTTAGTCAAAAAACTAAGTTTCATTCTGATGTTTAACAAAGTACCTATAATATGCTTCTGGAATTTCTGCAGTGTTTCACGCAGTGTGGGCTCAAAAACATTGTTTGTAATGTACATTCGAGGAAAAAAATCACTGCATGTTAAGTCGGGACATCTTATTATCTTCTGAATAAAGTTAAGTCACCTGCTCTGAGGGCTAAACCAAATATATGGAAGCTCATCATTCTGAAAATGACGTACCTAACTCAGTTGATGAAATGGAGCCCCATCTTGGTGGAATAGGAAAATTTTTAATCATGTTTCATTTGATAAAATAATCGCATCTTCAGTATATCAAGCTATAACCCAACCATCATACTGTTCTCAAAGAAATAAATTGTTCTTATGACTTTCCCTGTGATATGACACAGAATGCATTTGGTTTTGGTAGATCCAGTTTCTGTTCAACAAGAGTGGGACAATTTTCCATGCCTAGTTCGACTATGGCAAACGCAACCTTGGGTAGCATTCTGCCAAAGCACTTAGAATCGTCCAAAAGGTGTGCTAATGACATGCCGCAGGGGGATGGGTGGCACATAAGAGTTAACTCTTTACTGGAAAGAGGAAATTGCTAACGAAGGAGGGAAAATCCTGGTGTCATCGAGTAAGCTTGTTATCAGTTTCTTTCACTCATTTGTTTCATGTTTGGAGAAATGTAAATATGTAGGTCTGCATTGATTTGCAACCCTAGAAATAAAAAATGTTGAAAATGTTTTCCATAATATATGAATTATAATTAGTGCATATTACATTTTTATTTTTAAAAATTAAGGTGACTAAAAATAATGGAACTATACTTTTTGCAGAAGTTTATTATTGAAGTTTTGTTATTGAGGTTTGAAGAAAGGATCAGCAGGTTTCCATCCCATTTGAGCCGGATGTTCCTTGATTGTAGTTGATTTCGTGTAACATCTGCTAATACTATGGTCTTTTATAAAAGAATTAAAAATGTTTTGGGCTATTTTTTTTTCTAAAATAAAATTCGTTTCCCCATTCCAAATCCAGTTATTTATAAAAATGATTTTGATTTTAACAGAACAAAAATCAAAAAGAAGTATAATAATTATTTATTATAATTAATTAATTAAATAAACTAATAATCATTTAATATTGCGTAATTACTGCAGTTAATTATTAAGATGGTTTCTCTGTGTATTAATGAACGTACATTTTAGCTCAATGATAAAAAGATACATAATAATTATTAATTAGAGTATAATTATAATGTAATTAAATTATCATAAAATTATATATGTATTGCAAAATTAAGTTCTGGAAATGCTCATATCTTTATCAATATATAAATAAATAAAAAAATGTACGAATTAAACACAATATAATAAAATACTTTATCACGAATGATGATCAGCATATTATGTTAGATTATTTAAAAATAATTCTCTGCCTTCTTAAATCTATGCTCTTTGAACGCAATGAAAATAAAAAAAGGGAAGAAAGAGTAGAAAAAAATCGCTGCTACATGTTTCATGTACTTATTATTCTGAGAAAATGAAATGTTGCTTTGTTAACAATTAATACACGAGGTGCAAACAATTATCTTGTAATGTAATGTGTTTTGCACGTGATTACAAAATTCATTTCATGTAATGTTATAATATATTTTTTCCTAAATACTGCATGTCTTTGTAATGTAACTAAAAGCATATCTGGCTAACAATTGGGAGGTCTGGAGTTCAAATCCAGCAAAAGCACCATTGATTTCTAGCTTCAAAAAATTCTTAATAACTTAAAAGTGGAACCGAACCAAAAAATATGCTGGAAAATATTTCTTCACCACTTGTATTAAAAATATGGGTCCCCATTTTCCTGGTTAGCCTTTAAATGGGGAGAAGGTAAGGTAATTTCTCTCTCCTTACTGTGCGGGTTTGTGGTATAACTGGACGCACATCCATACAGCAAACAGGCAGTCTTAAGTTTGAACCGCAGTAATGACATCGTTAATTTTTGCCTTCAAAAAAATTCTAAATATCTACATATTTACCTGACTAAACCTGAAACATTTGCAAACAGTATGGCTTCAGTTGAAGCTGCTATTTGAAAATTTTGCATGCAATTGGCTGGGAAATACAGTATCTGCAGTGAATGTAATTTGTAGGCTATGTGTGACACTGTCTCTAAATTTCTCCTCTGTTTCCTTAGAAATGCTTGAGTATGTGGAGCTCTTAACAGGCAACAAGTGTTCTTGTGTTGTTGAAGTAGCAAGTGTTCTTGTGCTATTGCTACCACTGCAGAATGCTTTAGTGATCGAATGTGTATGGTACTGCCTTCGAAATGTACTTTGCATATTCAAAATACAAAAGGATTTCTACTAAAGGCATGCCATTTGGGGACTGAAACTCATATCTGTTGCATGACACGTCATAAGACACATTGCACGCACAAATTAGAAATTTTAAAATATTCTCTTTTGTTGTGTAAATATCAAGAATACGTATAATCAATAACATGCAATCGAAGGACTACAGTTGACAGATGAATCGTTTATAATAGCCCTGTACTTTCACTTATTGGTGATCATTATGATACATATTTATAATTTCATAAGACTTTTTTTTTACAGAAGCATGTCTGTTGCCCCAAATTGTTGGACCTTGTGGAGCAGAAATTCCGTCATGGTACTATGATCCTGGTTCAAAACGTTGTGAGCCTTTTAACTATGGTGGTTGCCTTGGAAATAACAATAGATTTGTTAGCAAATTACTTTGTGAACAGAAGTGTAATCATCTTCAACCTGTCAGTGAGTATTAAAAGCATTTAATTTGTTGAATAATTTATGAAGCATTAAGTATAAGTCTGTATATTAAAATTACAGTCCATGCAATTTGAATTATCTCTATTTCTATTGAAATGTGTAATAAAATGCTGCTGGTCTTTAATTAATTAAAATTTTAATTACTGTATAAGGTATTTCTCCCGCCTACCTAGCGTACCTTCGTGGTGTAGTGGTTCTGCACGCTGAACCGGTATTCCAGAGGTCCGTGGTTTGAATCCTGGCGAAGGCAATTGCTCATTTTTCATCTTGCCTGTTTTCAAAAAATACCTAATGTCTCTACAACTGTATTACTTTGCATTTAAGCTGCAATAGAATTTTAAAAGTGGAAAAAAGGAATAAAAATAGCTGAACTTGAATTTAAGCCTAGTAAGATTTTAAAACTGAAAAAATAATAAAAAGTTTAAGAAATATATAACCTGAGTTAAAAATACATATTATAATACAATTTGGATTTTTTTAGGCCTTAACTGTTTATAATCCTTATGTACAAACAAGAACTTATTAATAATTGTTCTTAATTTTCCTTATGTTTTGATACCCTTTAGATCATAAATACTTCATTATTTCATAAATCACGATTCCATATGTTTAATTTTATAATTTCTACATTCCATCTTACTTGATTTAAACTGATGATCTAATATCCGGAAAAATCCCAAATCCGGAATCCCCGATGTCCCGACGAGTCCTGATTTCGGACTTTGTACTGTAATATGATTTATGTATTCATCCTTAGATGTGTGTAGTTTAGCGATGGTAAAAGATCCTTGTAGTTGTTCTTTGACTGACTCAATGGGTCTTTGATAAGAATAAAGATGAGTGCTTTGAATGATGAGTGCTTTGAGTGAAGTTCAGTGGTTGCCACGGGAATGCAAATAGCTTTAATTCGAAGGAAGCTTATTACCTAGCCTGCAAGAAGGAGAAACTGAAAACTCTTGAACCTCGTATTTCTTGAGGTAAAATATAGTTACCTGTTTTGTATTGATTTAGCTATTTTTAAATATAATTAATTAAAATTGTTTTATATTACCGTGGAAGGCAGTACGAGACTTATTTGAAGAGAAAGCTACGCCTGAAAAAAATAAAAATACAGAAGCACGTACAGTTAATAAATATATATCTCGTAATTGTGCTCTTTTGCTATCCGGAAAAATCGAGAAAGTACGAGAATGTTCTCGTGCGTTTAAAAAGCTTACAAAAGCTGAAGAAAAGCATCTCAAATGAGTTGTTTAGAAAACTGTTGTTGTTTGCTGTAGCGAATTCGCGGCGAGATCGGATTAACTTTCGCTACGTTTTTCTGCTTTTAATTCTGTTCTGTAAAAGGTTTTAGTAGCTTAAAATATAACTATTGCAAGATATTTTGATATTATACGAATATTCCTGAAGAAATTTCAGCATTTTGTTATATTTTGCTGTGATAGGAATAAATTTTATTTACTTTTCATCGGACTTGTGCATTCAATTTACTACGAAACCGTACACATGCAACAATATATTATATTATTCATTTGAAATTTATCATAAACTCTCCCCCTTCCATTCTTCTTATTATAAATATTCTGGAAATGTTATGAAAGTTCTTTTTTTCCCTATGGACAATTCTCCAAGTTGTTTTACATGTAATGAAAAAGCAGCGTGTTTCTTAAATTTCTTTTTTAAACTATTTTACGTATACTTACTCTTCAAAATACTAAATATATTTGAATGTTGTCCTAGTAAAAATTTATATGTTACGTTTCAGTAAATTAAGGTATTTAAATAAAGTGCATCATAAATTTGAACTGAAATGTTCAATGGCTGTACATTATCAAATTTTTAAGACTCGCATATATTTACATAAATAATTAAAACTATTATTAGAATGACTCAAGTATTTCTTTCATGCTCTGTTTCTAGTTACTCTATTTCACTCATTAATATATACATGCAGCTGTATCTCTTTGAGATTTATATCTAGCCACAACATAATGCATTAGTGTACATAGAGAATGTTCGTTCTAGGTATGCATTCTCTTCTTAACATCTTTAAGTATGGGCAGTTAAAGGAAGCAGTGGCAATATGTAATGTTGCATTGTTTCAAAAAATGCATTTGGTAATAACATTTGAAATGAGATTCGCACTATTTACAGAAGAAATACTTGAGGTGTTTAGATATTTCACATTTGATTTTGCACATTCCTGGTTAATAGTTTTGGTCTGGAAACAGATAAAAATTTCATCAAGGTCAAGGTTAACAAAAGTCTATGATATGCTATTTGTGTATTGCTAGGTATATTAAATATTCACCAAACTATGGTACATAAACACCTCGTAAAGCTCAACTGCATCAGAATACAATTTCAAAAACACAATATATAAAAAGTAATTTCCCCCCCCTCTCCAAAAAAAGGCCTGCATTAATGAATAGATAATACTTCTTTTAAAAGCAAAATAATGCCAGGCCTTTTATGTTTAACCTTTAAAAACAATTGTTAACATTTGACTGGAATATTCTGCCTTATCCTTTACTCTCTGAATACTGCCACATCGCATTTCCTTTGTCAAAATGCACATGGAAAAAATATTTTGAGGGCAAACCGCAAATATTTCATAAAGATGGCTATATGCAGCTCTTTTAAAGAGGAGATGGAAAGTTATAGAGCAAAATGAGTCAGTTATAAAACATAAGATATTGTGCATGCTTTATTTACAATTTAAACGAGGAAAAGAAAAAAAAAAGACTTTTTGGGCACCTAAATAGTTTTAGAAAAAAATGCTGTTTTAATTATCACTTATTTAAGGTAAGTACAGCTACATTCATTCCCTCTTGAATCTGATTTCAAAATGTGACAATAACTTTCATAAAAGTGTTTTTACTAGTTGTTTACTGTGTTTGATATTACCACTTGTTGTATTAAATCGATATCACACACAAAAAATATTTTTTATTACGTTCATTGAGCAATTCATTTACCTTTCATTCTTGTCATGTTGGCAAAGAGATAAGATATTCTAGAATGTTTGATTGTTTCTTGTGGTTATGCCATTGTCACCGTTGGCATCGCCTGCAAAACAATTCCTATGCTTTTTTTCCATTCAGATGGAAAAGGCAATTACTGGTGGGAAAGACTGCAATGCAGCACCATATAGCTGACTTTTATCAATACTATGTTACCTAGTTAAGGACAAAATATATCAAAATTCCAAATACATTAAACAGATGTGGTAATTTGACGTTCGACGGCATGCGCAGCCAATCCTCGTCATGTGGTTTATGTAAGAACTGCTAGCGCTGCAGTGAGCTAACTCACTTCGCCCTTAGCTTGAGCATAAGATTTTTGAATTTTAGTTTAGTGGTTTTTGTTATTCATTCTGTTATTTCAGTTGCGTTTAAAGATATGGTGTGTGAGTTATGTTTAAGGAAAAGGAGTCATGTCTATTCAAAGATATACATCAAGCACATAACCACCATGCCACCATACAGAAAAAAAAAATAAATGTATTCTGTTTTGGAAATTTTGAAATCTAAGAGAAATTGTTTACAATAATTCACACTTGATTAGTTATATATTGCTCAAATTTCCTCGCTAAAGATTTTGTGAATGGTAAAGCTTTCACTTCATTTTTGTCAGAGGCATGAAATTCTACTCTAGGCTTAGCTTTTTGCCCACTTCCCTCATTAAATATTTAATTGCATAATCTTACAATTTCATAACAAGTGTCAGTAATAACTGCAACTATGCTTTACTAAAGCTCCAAGGAAAACTGCAGTCTATAATAAATTTTATATTTTATTGGTTCTAATTTTATCATGGATTACTTATATTAGTGCTCTACATGGAGTTAATATCTTCAATATAATTTAGCGCAAGTACGTAAACATTGAATATATAAGAATAAAATAAAAATCAGCGATATAGTGAAGCAAACACTTGCCGAAACTCATATTTTATTATTCTTGCAAAATCTGGGATTCCCACTCTCGATAACTTCAAAATAATTTTTATATTTCTTGCTGATATAGGAAATAACTTTCATAATTAATGTATATTGCACATATATAGAAATATCTTAAAACTTTTTAAATTTTTAAATTAAGCACATTTACAAATGTTTGATTACATATGCATCTTTTTTAAAAAATTGAATGCATCAGCAAGGTTATAATCATAAAGGAAGTAGGAGCAAATATTATTTTTATACCAGTCTATTGCTAAAAAATTGCAACATTCTTTTAAAAAATATAATCATTTCTGGAAAAATGTTCTGATGAATTATTATAGAACGGTTCTATCTGGTCATAATATTCCAACTGGGTTCTTAGGTAAAAATGAATAAAATGCTTAAATTTAGCATTTTACTCAAACGTTTAAATCAAGTTATATTCTCTTAAAATTTACTAATTCTGAAGTAATTATTTTTAAAAGGTTTTTCAACAATACCTTTAAAAACACAACTGGTTTTGTCTAGGCATTAAAGAAAGCATAGTGCTACCAATTTTTACCTTTCTACGCTTTCTTGATTCTGTGTATAATTTCCTTGTAGACGTTTATTATTAGTTCTTAAGTGTTTGCTTTATGTTCTTTATTTTAGCTTTAAGAATAAGCGTCATATGTCATATAACATATTCCATCACTTTCAGATGTATGTATGTTGCCTAAAGAACCTGGTCCTTGTTTAGGATATTATAGAATGTGGTATTATGATAGCATTTATAATATATGCAAATCTTTTGTTTATGGAGGATGTGATGGTAATAAAAACAGGTTTGAAAAAAGAACTGACTGTGAACAACTATGCGTTGATAAAACTTCCAAAGGTATTTTAATAATTTTGTGTATATTATACTTAACATATAATGGGAATTTTTATTTTAAAGAACTTTATATTGAAAAAGCATGAATTGTCAATTTTTTTTCGGTATATGTCATGTTTCCATTCTAAATATTACATTAATTTAATGTAAATAAATGTTCACCATTTAAACTTGAACATTGCAAACTAGTACTTATTCATGATAGTCATGCTTACGCATCAGATTAAAAACAAATTTATTTTACCTTATAAAAAAACATCGAAGAAAAGTCTATTATCAAACATTGTTCTTTGAATTATGAAAAAAGTGCTGATCTAATTATACTTGACTCATAAATTTGCAAAATAATGTGCAATCACTTTTATTGAGTAGAGTGATTTACAAATCTTGCAACTGCATCTAGGAATTTCATTCTGATTAATTTGTAAATACATGATTGTAGTTTCCTTTTTGAAAAATATTTGATATTTCGAAGTTGCTTCTTCAGTGAAATTACAGAGCCCCATTTTTAAAGAAATTAAATTTGTAAGCTATTTCTCCCGCCTTCTTAGCATACCTTAGCATGTCATCACGCTTGGCGCGTATTCGAGATGTCTGAGGTTCGGGTCTTAGTGCATTGCGTATTTTTCATGTCTTCTGCTTCGAAATAACCTAATGCATCTACCAGATTCCTGATAAGAAGCTTGAAATCTCTTATGAAAATGTTAACTTTAAAACGTTCTTGGATAACTTCTTTTCCTCATTCTGAAGGTTGCTTACGTTCAAGGTTATAATGATGCATTAATATTTCATTCTTCATGATGTTACATGCCAAGAATTCGTTTTCGGCAAAAATGCTTTGAAGACTACATTATAGTACATCATTTTGTACTCAGCTCTTAGCATCTAAGTCATTTATTGCATGCATAGCTTGTCCATGTTAGAATATCTGTTTTAAGATATTATGGGCAGTTCCGATGCAATAGTCCAGTTCCTTGACCAGAACTTCCAAAAATAGTTGCTGGTTTTCCCTACTAATTGCATCTTTGCCAATTAACTGCTTGGTAATTTTTGGTGCTGAAATGATTTGAGAACTGTTCATCTGGCACGTGTATTAGTCCTCCTTTTAGGTGTCTTGACCTACTCATACAATTTATTACCGTATTGCTGCAATATTTTTCCATGAATTTCATAAAGCTTCATGAATTATGTATCTGGTCACAAAAGCTCAAATACTGCTAGATTTCCCTGCAGAAAACCAATTGGATCATCATGATGTATATGCTTGCTATTCTACGATTGTGGATGCCATACCATCTACTAGCCTGTAATAACGCTTCATTAGAATATATCACCCTATTATTAATATATGAATTTGAAATGTATTCCTGAAATACAGAAAAATTTGCTGTAACGTTTTGGTGTATTTAAGTAATTCTGTCTGATTATGCCAAGAGGTTATAAATATGTAAATAAATATTTAAACAATTCGATTTTTATCATAAAATTATATTTTCTAATGATTAGCTTCGTTAGTATCGGTGTTATCAATTGATTCAAAGTTTTAATCCTTTCAGAACCCTCCAGTGTGTTACAGCTTTTGCTTTCATAAAATAATTATAACAACCCTTTGTGATGAAAGAAATAGAATATTTAATTCAATGTTATAAATATGATTATCTTTAACAAAATTTATAAGATTTTTTAAATACCAATGATATTTTTTAATGTGTACAAAACGTATTATACTTGTGAGAAAACTAAAAGTATTTTGACAGTAAAAATGAGCCATTTGTATCAATGCTTTTTAATTTAAAATAGTTTCAAATTTTTGCCGATTTGTATAGGCATTGTATTAAATATTTTTGACTAGGCAAAACCTCGTGTTCTTATTTTTGTTTTATACTCGGCTATAATTTCTCACTTCATTACAGAGGCAATTAGAAAAAGTTTTTGTTAGTTTATATGGGGAAAATTTAGCAGACGTAAATTATTTGGAGAGAACTGCTAAAACTTTCATTTTCTTATTATTCATTTATATATTTATTTTATGATCAAAATTAATTTTACATATTTTGATTAGATAGGCATTGCCACATTAGTTTCATATTGAACGTTATTCGAAAGATTCAAGGACTTTCAGATATCTTATATTACTTTTTATTAACTTGTGAAAATGATATTTATGCAGAAACATCTAATTTTGTAGGTTCAGAAAGATTTAATTTTCAATGGCGATAAATGGTTAAAAATGTAATTTATAATAGTCCTGGTCTATCCCAACGTAAACAAAATAGTAATAATAATAATAATACTAATGCAAAACTTTTTAGAGTGTATATAATTTTCTGTAAATTGGAGAACATGAAGAAATTTTGACTGAAGTATTCAAAATGTCTACTCAAATGAACTGATCATAGGTATTGCAATAAAGTATGCTCTACAGGAAATAAAATAATAAATGAAAGCAGAGTGAAAGAAAAAATTCCCACCATTAAGATATAGACAAAAATTCTAACAAACAAAATAAATTTAATAAGAAATATCATAAATGTATCATGCATTGTGTATAGTGATAGCATATACTCCTGCTATACTCCTGCCTAAAAAATAAGCAGCAAAGGCAAAACACGGAATAAAACAAAAACGATTTCATAGATATGCTTGAAATTGATCCAAAAGGTAGGTGTGGAATTAGTAGACCACATAGCAAACAATAAAGCAAAAAGACATACAAAAACACATTATAATGTATTATGATCATCACATCGCTAAAGACTAATGGGTAGAAAGAATGAGCAATGGAATCATCACGCTAATAATGGCTCATAATGCAACTGTCAACCGTGCTCATGAGGCTAGTTATCAAATTTCATTACTCAGCACTAAATCTGGGAAAAGTTGTGTACTATAGAGGAGAATTCAATCAATCCCATCAATATCAGCATTACTTAAAACGTTCTAGAAAAAGATGACAAACACTTTAAAGCTATGCCATAGTACTGTTAGCAGAAGAATAGATCAAATGAGTGAGGATATTAAAATACAACTTGTTGAAAACAAGAAACGTTTTGGTGGAAATGGATGAACCAACGTTGAGAGACAGTGAGGTTGTACGTGATTTTGCCGAAGAAATATTATTCTGTTAAATCGTTAGAGAGCACCACTAGCTCCAAAGAAACATTTAAAGTAAGCTAAAAAGTAACTTAGGTGTAAACCCGAAATGCTTCTTGTGGCTTGTGTTATTCACAGGGGAAAAACCTGGTAGCTAAAAACATTTCGCCTGTTCTAAGTGAAGTACTAAATTCAGTTATAAAGTTTATCAATGCTTTTAAAGCTAGTGGCTAAATGTGAACATCTCTTCAAGTTATTATGTGAAGAACAAAATGAAAACTATATGAGACTTTTACTTCTCACTGAAGTAAGATGGCTGTCGAAATGGAACTACATGAAAAGATTTATGGAACTATTTGATACTCTTAGATATTTTTAAGCGACAAACCTGAAAGGAAAAATCTGTTAAATGTTGATGTTAAAGCATTTGTGAGTTATTTAGACGATACCCTTGATAAATTACATGTATTAAATAAACGACTTCAAGAAGCAAATAAAGCTGTTGTAGATGCAAAAGCGAAGATATTTGGTTTGAACTAAATTGATTTTACCAAATTGAATGATGCAGCTAATGTTAGTGGATTTGACTGATATTTCAAATATGCAGTATCAAGAAGAACTCCCAGAAATTCAAAATGATGAGTCAATTAAAATTGTATTTAATATAAAAGGAGCTTTGTGAGTAAACCAAAATCAAATATCCAAATACGACAAAATGTACAAGAGAACTATTATAACCATTTCCATCTTCCTATTTATCTGAATGCGAATTTAGTGCCATAAATAATTTGCTGTTAAAAAAAGAAATCGACTGGCTATAATAAAACGTTGAGACTTGAGACTGAAGTTAATTAAACTGGAATCTGCCAGTTAATCTTTATGACTTTTGACTTTTGTCTAAAATCTTTTATGACTTTTACAGCAAGGATCTCACTTATTTAAATAATAAATAATTACTAATACTTCAAATAATATAGAAGGAAACTTTCATTAAAATTATTTTGTACTTTAATTTCAGCTCTCCATTATATGTTTTGAAAGATTACTTACTGGTATTTGCTCACTAAATTTCCTAGTGATTTTTTCCCAAAACGCATTATTTAAGTTTCTTTCGTGAACATTTAAATTTTTTAATATTAAAAGTTATGAATATGCTATAGGGAGCATAAGGATTTGAGAGGATTAGGTAGGGCAATAGCTCAAAAAAGGTTGGGAAACACTGATCTAGTGTGTGCATTTAATAATTTTTAAAATGAAAGTTTCTGCCTTAGTATAACCTGACGTACGTAGAGAACGTTTTTGTTCGCCTTTTGCGGCGACAAACCAATCTGAATTCAATTAAAAAATATTACTGTTACAATAGTTTTTCAAAAAAAAATTGTAAAGATAACTTAGGTATTTTTGTACCAGTTCTGAAGAAAATGCTGACATTTTTGCAAATTAAAATAGTAAATTAAAATAAAATAGCAAAGTGCATGTTGTTAGTCTAAAATATTCACCATCATAAAGATCTCTAAAGATCTCTAAATTAGCTGTTTCAGACATATAACAGCATGGGTGTATTTTCTTATGTATATAATTTTAACTAACTTTTTTTTACTGATAAAATTTCTTATTTCAGTGATTCCCATTGCATGCATTCCAGCTTTCTTCACAAGGGCACCATAAACCATGATAAATCTTTCGTAATTTTATTTCCATATTCAGTCATGGGATTCCAAAGTGAGATGGTGCTAACCAATAATTTAACTATTACAACATATCAATATTTTTAACAATTAATAGTAATTAATTGCTGAAATAGATGACATTTTATATTAACTGTTCTTGAGTCAAGATTATTTCAGCAGCTTGCTGAATTGTCTTAGTATTCTCTACTCAACAGATCTCAGTATTCAAACAGTTTGTGATATCAAATTAGTTTTAATCGACTGTAATATAACTAAATTATATTATGTTTTGAGTATGTTGCTGATATTTTTAGAAATCAATAAAAGAAAAAAGTGTTCCTTTTTATATTTAAAAAAAATTGGTTTTGCACTGAGAACTAGTAATTAATCTGAAAATGAAAATAATGGATCTATAGGCACTGTCCACCAGTGGCCCGTTTGACCACTAGCTATACATGCCATAAATACCGTGACTATAATTTGGACATTCAAGTTTTATAATAATAGAAATTATAGTGTGTATTTGTGAAGAGAGATCATAATGTATGCGATGCATGAGTAGCAGAGTACATCAAACCGTTGCCAAATGTGGACTTTCGGAATGAAGTTTTGTTTATTTGCATTATTTTCACTGTCTGTTATAATTTGTCTAACACGAGAATTTCAGTCATACACGGTATGCTGCAGAGCATCGGACACATTGTGGTAGTCTTCTTTAATGACTGGTTAGAAAATTTATTCATTTAAGACTTCAAACATTACTCAACAGCAAAACCCGAACTTTAAAAGTTATAATGTTCCAGGACATGGGGCTGAGCTTTCACAACATTACCTCCAAATGCAGATGTTTTGTCTTCTGCATATCACCATTTCCTTAATTAAACCAATGGATCAAGAAATCATAAAAGCATTCGCAATCTATTATCTCATTCATGTTTACATTTCTGCAACTAAATCATGAGACAAAAAGTATGACACACTCGTGACATTTTGGAAGCATGTCAGCATAAAACACTGAATATATATGATTCAATGAATTCATCAACAATGAATGCTTGCTGGCATCAGCTCTGGCCAGAAGTTGTTTAAAGAATTTCCAACAATAGAAAGTGGAGCCAAGGAAATCATAGAACCTGCAAAAGCAATAGGTGACAAAGGAGTTTTCAGATGTGCAAAAAAACGAATTCAAAGAAATAGTTGAAATGACCATCATGAAATTAGAAATGAAGAATTTGATGATCTTATAACACCTACAGATGGTGAAAGCAATAATAATGAAGAAGACTAAGAAGCCTTTAATATAGAAGAAGTTAAACGAATTGTTAAAAAGGCAAAGGAACTACCTGGTTTTGTAGTGGATGTTGATCCAAATAAAGAAAGAAGATTACTTTTATGAGGGGTATTTAAAAGCTTTGCACTCCTTACCATAAAGTGTTTAAGGAATTGCATCAAATATTGTACCAAGCAAAAGTCCCCAAATATTTAAAAATATTACTCTATTCTACCTAATTATTAAGCAGAAATCCTTTCAGATAATGTATGTTACATTTTCCTCATTTAATGACTGTTATATTTAATAATTAAGTAATATTTAGTAATTTTATTAATATTTTTAAAAATTATACATGCTTTTCTAATCTGAACTATTGGAGAGTTTGAGACAGTATCAATACATTACTCCAATAAATGATTCCCGTCATTCCAATATTTCATGTGAATCTGCTTCTGCTGAAGAAAAGAGTCTTATTATATTATCTTGTGACAATATGCTTAAACATAATTTAATGATATGGCATTGACTAAATTTTGAATTTCAATAAAGGGTGGAAATACTGTTCTGAGTGGAAAAAAAATGCAGCACATATTTCTTGCTTCTAACCTATGTTAATTTGAGTTTGGGGATTTTCCTGTTATAAAAAGAAACCTAAACTGTTTTCCTTATAGAAAGTTAGCTTTTCGGAATGCAATTTTGCCGCACGGGCGACGTGTTAATCATGTAACCCACATATGCAGCAAGGGTTTACTGTATGTGTTGCCACACAAATTAGAACGAGTCACAGCAACGTGGTAAGCAAATCCCGTGACTAAGTTCTCAGAAATTAAGAGCTGAATCAATGACTTCTTAAGTTGTAAAAATTGCAACTTAAGCTGTATATAGTCTTAAGTTGATGTAGTTATGGTGAATAACAGTATCAGTGAACCTGCTTTCAAAACTACTTTGTCCAGTAGCATTGTCAATAACAGAATACAGCACTTAGAAAGGCATCTTAATGATCAGTCATCTGAAAGGAAAATAATTTGAAAAAGCCATGGATATTTGATCAAGATGCGCATTTAATATTCTATGTACAGTTCGTAAATCAAAATGACAATGCGGAAGACTATATCTTTTATGCTCCCCCCCCCAAAAAAAAATTAAGCAAATCACTCTGTAATAGATAGAGTATTGATGGTATAAGAAACATCTTTCATTAATAAAAATAAATTCGTCAACAGATAAGGTTACCTATATAAATCAGTGCAGTAAACTTAAATAAATTAAATGAAACCATTGTTTGTAATCGAAGAACAGCAAAAAAACTTAGAACCTATTACTGATAATCGTTAAGGCCATTGATCAGTTTTGGTTCATTTATAATTACCATAATAAAGCCGTGAAATGTTATTGCTGTAGAAGCTCTGTCTGACATTATTATCTGAAAATAATTTGAATTGAACTAAATGTTTTGAGGTTGGTACTGAGAGCATCTGTAGAAGTCTGCAGAAGATTTGTTTGACGTAAAGTCTCTTGTGCTCTCTCGCTCTGTTGTGTAGCAGTAGTCGCATCAAAGGATCCGACTGCTACACTAAAACCACGTCTTAGGAAATGCAGTGAATGTATTTAATTTTATAACAACCTGTCCATTTAAAAAAAAACGTTGTAAAAATATGAATACAAGGGCACACACCTTTGTTAAATTACAGTAGTATAAGTTGCCTCTCTCATGTTTTGTCATGTATAGTTGAGTTACAAGAAAGAATACAAGGATGCCAAAGACTTGTATTCTTTCTCTTGTCAATATAAAATGTTTAGTAAAATCAGCAAATTTATGTGACGTTTATTAAAAGCTCTATGCTTTGAGTCTGCTTATTCAGGAAAGTAGCATGTACCTCTTAAAATATGATTAAGAGAATTCTAGTTTTTTTTAAACAAAAGCAAACTGTGAGGTTTGAGAGAGTTTTAATAAATTTACATCGATAAATGATCCCTTTAACTCCAATGTTTCATCTAAATATGCTTCTTCTGAAGAAAAAAGCCTGATTATATTGTCTTGCTACAATATGCTGAAATACAATTTAATGATACGGCATCGACTAAATTTTGAATTTCAATGGAAGGTGAAGATTTTGCTCTGACTGAAAAAATTACAGCAAATATTTATTCAGTTTCCTACTTCTTACCTATGCCAATTTGAGTCAGGGGAATTTTCTGTCATAAAGAGAAATTATTAAGTGAAAATCAGTATTAAAAATGAAATCAAGGTGATTGTGAGCAGCCTGATTCAACACTGAAAATGTGTATGGTGATCAGCAAATTGGTCAATCTCATTAATCATAATTTATTGAAGCCATTTATAATTGTGTTTGTATGGTTATTAATTTTTTATTGTGTTAAATGTACATTTTATTTATTTTACAGAACCAAGAAGTAAAATGTTATTGTTTGGCACTTTTTCACTTGGGGCTGAGTATTATAAAATTTTGATTCAACAAAGGTGCCGTGAATTGAAAATACTTGGGAACCACTCCTTATTCTAATATGAATGATTTTTTATTACTTGACCTATTTCTTCTTGCATGAGCATTCTGTTCCAAATTCTGAGCATGTTTCATTTTTATTCTTGTACAGAACCTGCCAACATCCTATCTGGTAAAAATTTCATTGAAGCTCGAATTGGAGAATCAGCAGAATTGCCGTGCAATGCTGTTGGATGGCCAAAGCCTACAGTTACATGGTGGCGGGAGACAAAAATGTTGCCTTTGTCTAATCGGCAGTATGAACAATTGGCAAACTACTCTTTGTTAATAAGATCAGTTGTTTATGAAGATAAGGGAGAGTACTCATGCCATGCATTCAATGGTATTGGTTCTGGTTCCATATATAAAGTGACATTAATCCTTGAATTGCAATCAGTTCCACATGCACCTAATAATGAAGATGGTGAACACAGTACCACAGATGAGCCATTAGCCACATATGATGGACCAAAGTACCCAGATGATGGTAATATCATTTAAATTTTCTATTTTTTTATTTATGCTTATTTAGTTCGATATATTTTACCTGTTCTTCCATTCAATGTGTTCAAGCATTAAACTGAGAATTATTAAAAAAGCTAATTCAGTATCAACCAAGAATATTAAATATTTTAAAACATTTATTTATTAGAACTTTAACAAACAAAATAAATATAACAAAATAAAACGTAACTTGATTTTATATTGATGTTGAAAATCAAGTGACAATGCATTTCTTTTCTGTATTAGATATATTTTTTAGCAGTATGTTGCAACTTTTCTTCAGAGGAAATTCTTAAATTTTGCACTTCGTTTGTCTCCTGGAGGCATACAAGACAAAAATTATCACTATTTAAAATATTGTTTATGCAAATTTCAAGATTTTAGTGTTATTTAATTCCAATTTGATTAGCATTCATTTTTACAGGAAGCCGCATCTGAGAATTACACTAGTAAAATTTTTGAAAATTTATGTTTGTTTACTGATAAAATTCCCTATTGTTGTGATTTTCTTCAAACTATAGGTATGCAAGCGCCCCCTAAAAACATACTTTAGCATACAATTCATTTCAAAATTAGACTTTTTCTTAGGACAGCACAGCCATCATGCCTGTTATAATAATACTTATTTTACAATTTTTATCAGTTTTCATCCTTGATCTCTTTGTCCTTGTTTTCTATGAAGGAGAGAATAACACAAGTAAAAGATAACAGAGGATATTGAAATTCTTTATTGAAATGTCTCTATATCTTCTAAATTGAAGCAGCCTTAAGTTCCTTTTCTAAAATTGTTCTGATTGGATGTTCTCACTCCTTTGTTTTATGTATAATTAATTAATCAAGAATGTTTCTACTAAGATTTGTGCTATTGTTGAAGTTTCCTGATCTATCAGGGATAGCATATGCTTCCGGTCATTTACTAAAAAATTCCATGACAACTAGGATTGTTGCCTACGAAGTAAGGACCGAGGAATATCCATAGTAATACTTTCAAATTGTGCCTCCATATTGTAACGCTGTAGTCTTCCTCATGCTCATAACTATTAATATTTTCGAGTACCACATATATCACAGGATTTTCACCTTTCTACATCTGCTTTGTGAGAGAAGAAATAATCACGAACTTTATGGAGTATTCTTTTTTATACCAAAATGTCTACCAGTTGATTTACTATGAAATTCTGACAAAACACTAGGGACTCAAGATCACAGTAAGATGAGCTGCTATCTAAATATCTTTCTATCATCAGATTCACCTTTACCCTAGAGAATTCCTATCCCGCAGGAATCTAGGGAATCCCATCCAGGGAAAGCCGAGTACTTTTTATTATCGGACTAAACAGTACCATTTCTTGCCAAACTGGGTCTGTTAATGGTCGTAATACATAGTCTTCCATTTTTTTTTTTTTTTTTTTTTTTTTTTTTTTTTTTTTTGAATTCTTCGTTGCTCTATGGATCAGTCTCAGAGGTTATTTGGACATCTTAGAGTTATGAGGATCATTTATGAATTGGTGTTAATTTTTCTGACCACCGAGACTTTTCGAATAGCCTCCAAATTTTTGCACAAGGTTTTAAAATGCATCAGCATTCTCACGCAAAATTCCTTGTAAAATCAAATTTCCAAGTCATATTACTTGTAGCCATTGTTTCATCTAGGCACTGTCTGAATTTGTTTAGCAGCCAATTTAATGATGCACGGTGTCGTGTGCAACAGGAATTTCAGGCCACCGAGATAGTGAAGGAAATGTTTTTATTGAGCTTTACGCGGGCAGTTTTTTGTGGAGGGGGTTGGGTGGTAATTTCTTTCCAGCTTTGAGAGTTTTTTACTAAAATAAGCAATAATATACTCTTGGTTGTCAATTTCTTGTTGAATGAACAGCTTCATTTTCTTCATTTAAGGCATCTATATCGAACATTACGTGAAAAAGGTTGCAATTTCAGTGACGAAATGTAATGGCCGCTTTAACACGGAAATAATGAATAAACAAAATTCAGTGCATATTGTTGCAAGCTATGAGTTCATTCATCTCTCTCTGATTAATCACTCCCCATACACAAGAGGAAATTAATAAGTTATCATAAAAGTTAATTACAAACAGCACAGTAAATAACGTCTAGCAACTTAAGCAGAGAATAGATATTAAGCAATTCCTCCTTGGTACGCAAGAAATATTAAAAATTGCCAAAATCATTTGCAGCGTAAGCTCACAATTCAGCTAACATTCAACCGCATAGAATAACAGCCACAACTGCAGCTTCTGTGAGGAGCACTTCCAAAGTTTCACTTAATGTATTTCTACAATTTCAACATTGCCATACTTAGAACAACAAGATCAACAATCTCATACGTTTTACACTTTACTTTATATAAATACTTTATATATATATAATTTGTCACAAAACAGTAACAAAATAAATAAATACAACAATGCAATAAAAAGGATTTTAATGTTTGCTTTTACTATTTTTTTACCTATTATTAAAAAATTCTTTTTACTATTATGGAAGATTAAAAGTTTAAGAAAGTTTTGGAAATTTTGGACGACAAAAGTATTAATTTTTTACTAATAAGTTCTTACATAGTGTCTATATCAATATGACAGCAGGAGAAAATAAAAAAATCTACTAATTTTAGACATTATATTTTGCAATAATAACAACATCCAAGTCTCAGCCAGTTGTCTTGTTGTATGAATCCATAAATTATGTTCATTCTTATTCATTAAACTGTTACCTCAATAGATATAAAATTTTTGTAATATATTTCGATATGTATGTTAGTATAACTATTGCAAAATTATTATTTATTCTTTATTATTCATATTTGGCTCCAAACACAACATCCTCTGAAAATGATATTTATATTTAATGCGCCTCTTGCTGTCCATATGAACCTTCCCAGCGATGCATCCACAATTGGATCACCTATGCAAATAGACTGTGAAATACCAGGTCCAGCACTGGGTGTTTCTGTTAGATGGTATCATAATGGAATACCAATCTTGGAAGATGACAATAAAAGGATTTTGCCCAAGAATACTCTATTCTTACGTAAAGAAGAAATATCTGATACTACTGAATATCGTTGGTAGTGGCACGCATTGTAATGCGATGATTCTTGCTGTCATATTTTTACTTTTTTCATTTCTTCTCACCATGTTCACTAATGTTTTTTCTTTATTTTTCAGCCAGGTGAGATAGTAGTTCCCTGTCGCTTTCAGTATCGTCACTCCTGTTGTTTCAAAATCAGGGTGCTGAAACAGGAAAATGAACGATTGTTTACTTTTCCAGCATTTCGTCAAACTCAACTAAAAGATTCATTTTTTAAACATCAATCTATAGTAAAATTATGTATAATAATTAGTATTAAAAGTTATTTACACCAGAAGAACTTGATTATATATACAATAAATATACAGTAACACTGTATCAATGAGTAAAATGTGGAACAATTGAACTCCACAAAATTGTATATTCTGTTCATTCTTGAACAAAATTGTATGAGTTTCGGTACCTATAATAATTTTATTACATAATAGACACTTTTTTGTATAATTTGTATAAAATCGAGAGGAGCCGAACACCCGCAAGGATATATAGCATATATTTATTTATTATGTACATTAATTATATTTATTTAGAATAGCATATAAACATATGTAACGGTGAAACACCGAAATCTGGAGAATGTCGACTTTCACCGGTGAATGTCAACATTCACATAGTCGCTTGGTGTATGTCCGAAATATTTTCCAAATACTCTTATTTCTGACTTACACCGGTGTCAACATGTCGACATGAATGTTGAACATGAACATAAGAATATTATATTTCCTTCTCCGTAATTCGGCAGTCGCGAAAAAAACGCACTTGAGACTCAGAATAAGAACTTAAGAAATAAGAACTTAAAACACACAGTACATTCAAAATGAGAAAGGAAAATAATAGAAGTTTAAAACTTACCAAATTATGTGATTCAAATCTTATTTATTGCAACAACTTAAACTATTATGACACTTTCAATTGCACAAGAGGCCCTTGCTTTTACAACTGCATTTATTTGTGGAACACTTCCTTTTGCAAGTGGACAGCGTGTACATATACTCCTCTCTTTTCGACCTACACCAGAGAGCATATCTGTGATTGTCGACATACACCGGTGAGGGTCCGAATGTACAAGAATGTAATGCAATATTCGATCTTTCACCGACGTATTTGGTGAATGTTGACATTCTCCGGTGAAAGTCGACATTCTCCAATTTCGGTCTTCACGGTAACATATATTTAACAGTTAAAATATTTAGCTCTTTATTTTTCAGTGGTGCGATTTTTCTAACAAAGATAGGAGCGTTTCTTTCTGGACGGAAATGATTTCTCTGTGAATAGCATTTTACGATAAATGAGAGGTCTTTCGTGTTGCGCGGGTTTTGTTTACTGGGGGGGGGGGGTAAAAGAAGGTTCAACTGGTGTCCCTGCTTACTTTCCTTTGTGAATGCTGAATTTTTTTGGTGAGTGTTGAATATGTGAGTTTCTTTTGGACGGAAGGGCGTCTGTAAATTCCTATTTAAGAGCAGAATTGATTCTGTTTCCTGCTTCTTAGCTGTCTTCTTAGCTGTCTCTGTTTTCCGCTTCTTAGCTGAGGGTCGAATTCTGTTTGTCACGCCTTTGGATTGATACACTGATTCCAGCTGGTCAGCTGACTCATTGCGCTGCGTCGCTATTTCTATTTGGCGAAGGGAATGAAGTTTTTCAGCAAAATGAAAACACAAATTCTCAGATTGGACAGGTTTAATTTCATGCGTAATTTTTGGGCCTACAGATTTTAGTTGGGTGGAGAGACCGCGTTTATTTTGAGTTACTTTGAGTTTGATCAGTCATTCCATTTCTTTGAGCAGTAAGGCTTTTACGAAACATGGAGACTTAACATGAGCTATTTTTGATATTTTTAAGTATTGGAGTTTCACAACGCGTCTTTTAATTTTTTAAAAAAATTTTTTTTGTGTGTGTGCTAGCCACTTATTTATAATTATTTGAATTTTTTGGGGGTAATTTGAAAAATTTTTTAGGTGACAGGAGGGTATTTAAACTCTTGATTTTTTTAATGAGGAACTGCTTCGATTGTTTTATGACCATTTCTTCTCTAGTGTTCGTGAGGTTTTGAATTAATGAAATTGATCACGTTTCGCTTGATTTAATTATGGAAATGGTGAACAAATAGTTTACTTGAAGTGAAAAATGTTTTTAGTTGGAAGGATAAGTTACTATTTTTAACCTTAACCAAACGACAACGAAGACCTATTCCTCTTTATTTTTCAGGTTACGTATTATTAAGTGTGAATTTGCTTTTGATTGAGTTAATTGATTCTAAGAATGTTTATTAAATGTAAAGTGGGTTAGATCAATCACATAGTTCCTCCATTATACAAGATTTAAAGTCCTCAGGATTATCTTTAGTAGAATTTATTATTCTTTATTTTAGTTTTTATCCCTCACGAAAGAAAGTTAAGTCAGGCAGTTAAAACTTTAAAACATTAATACACCTGAATTTCATCTACGTAACAGAAGTTCCTCCTACCATCACGCGGCATATGTAGCTACTATTACAGAAACTTGCATACTCGTATTAGACTTTCTACGGAAATACAAATGTCTTGGCTTTTAAAAATAACAAATTGCATTCTGGCTCTGACGACAGAAACCTGTGCAGAATTAATCATGAAAGAGTTAGATCTGTCTACAAAATCATTGCTCAAGATGTGAGTACAGTGCCAGCAGCAACATGATTTTTTCCTCTGGATCCATTGCCGAAAACAGAAATTTCCGCCACGGTGTAATTGAACATCTATAGAACATTGAATAAATAGGTATCTCGGTAGGTGATATCACCGAGCTGACCACCGTTTGGGTGACTAATTGTTGTCCCCAAATTTGGCGAGAAATTCCTAAATATTGCCTGACGGCAATCATTTGGTGACATTTTTGTTCCGTCCTTGTATTACCGTAATAGGTATTGTAATTGAAGAAAATGTAATAGATCATTATATATTAGCTGTAACCGTAAATCGATCCTCATATAGCCTTCCAGTAATTTCGAGAAGCAAAAAGCACTAAAAATACCTCGGGGGCCAAATGGAAACTATGTAAGTCCGGAGAAGGCATCTGGTCTCAACTGTTGCTAACTATTAGATAAGCGTGTGTCCCGAGTAGTATCTCGGGAGCGGTTTAGCTTCGCTCTTTAGCAGCGTTTTGCATTGTGCTGTGTTTAACGTTCTTAGTAGTTTGAAGTGTCAATAAAGATTGCCCACTGTGATACTGTGAGGATTTATGGGAATATTTTCGTGGAAAGTTCCACAACCCTGAAGTGTATCTTTTGATAAAACAAAGCTTATCAACCTATCATGGGATGTACGTTCATTCAGTCTATTACTAACCCGTCAAGGTGGATCTAAAGAAAGAACATTTCCATCATTATCGTTACAATAAAATTTCGTAGTCCGCGCCGATCAGGTATCGTTGACCTGGCTTTTAAATTTTAAAAGTTTCGAATAGCAAATAGCCAGATAGATACAGAGACTCCAGGAATATGACATAACTATCCCTCATCAGAGGACAAAGTCCTGTCTAGAAGACTCTGTCCAGAAAGCTGCATGTATTGTTCCAGAGTGGAAGCGAAATATCAGCTGCTTGGTCCGATTGTACTTTAAGTTGCGAATCCTTAATCGTCTGACCCAGAACCATCAGGTATTGTGATGGCAGCTAAAACTTTCAAGATGCCGGTTCCCGAAAATAATTACAAAATAGTCCAACAAGAGGGGCACTTTGGGATATGGACATCTATGCGTACAGTTAAAAACGCTTCTACTGGAGTAATGCAAGAGCCGACGTACAAAACTGGGGCCAATCTTGCGAGGGTATGTGCATGTCGGAAAGGAAGAAAAAGAACGGCCGAGGAAGTTTGCAACGTTTGAATGTAGGAGTGCCCTTCGAAAGTATCCCCTTTGATATTACCTTTGCAACGATCTGCTAAAAGCAAAAAATACATCCTCGATATCATTGATTACACCACCAAGTAGCTGAACGACGTCACAGTCTGGATCCATAAGTCTTCAAATTCTAAGCCGAAATTCGTGCATTCCGATATGCTAGCTCCGTACTATATGTAGTCCATAATATGTAGTCCCCATAGTGTAAATAGTATAAGTAGTACTGCTGCGTGAGTACGGCTCTGTAGTACATTGAAAGTGAACAGGACCAATGATCGATAGATAAAAATGTAGTATTTTATCAAATAAAACACTCCATAGAAATTCTCGTACAAAGTTTCTATGTAACTCTCCATAGAAGCTCTGGTACAAATATTTACAGTATCACAGAGTTCAATCAGTGGATGCTATTCAAACTATTTAGAACTTTAAAACAATGCAGTGCAAAGTGCATCTAAAAGACTAATCTCTCTCGGATATTCAATACTCTAAATTCGCTCTCAACTAAAAACTGAGAGAAGATGTTCTTTCCGGTCTTATACAAATTCCGCTCGGGAACCGTGAAATCTCTAGGATTACTGGAAAAATTACTGGAAAGCACATACAGATAAAGTTACTGGAAAGAGACGAATACGTTTACAGTTCAATAAAGTAAGCTGTTGCATTTATTGAATTACAATACCCATTACAGTTATACAAGGACAGGACGAAAATGCCACCAAATTTAGAGACTTTTGTGCGATTCATCGCCAAATTTGGTGGCAAAAATAAGTCGCGAAAACCCTCTCCAGCTTGGTGCTATCTCAACAATCCAGCGAAACAGACATTTACACAACATTAAATAGAGTGACTCTTGTATTCATACTTCTCCGGGAAAGCAAGTCTCTTTAGGTTATCACGTTATATTATACAAGAAAATACTAGAATTTCACATATAATTTTTACTAAAATTATCTGTTTAGAGGAAATTGTTAACATTCTTATATTGTTACATTATATTTACAGCTATATTAACATTGTTATATTTGTAGCTATAACGCAGGGTTTTTACTTTTTGTCCTATTAAATAAATTTTAAAATTTGTTAATTTGAAAGTTTTCTTTTGACTTTTCTTTATATATGCACTAGCGGTAAAAACGCTGAACACTGGTAGTTCGGTCCTAGGTTCGAATCCCGCGAACGGGCTGGCTGCATGGGCGTTTTCGTGATTTTCCCCATGTGTAACGTGTATACTAGCCAGTTTCCCTTAGAAAGTCCTCCACGAAGGCATCTCTCCCTTTAGGCAGATATCCCTACTGTGCTTTGCCATAATTTAATAATCCTAATCCTAATTCTTATATATGTACTGAGGATTCAAAGTATTACGACAATTCTGACATTTTTGAACGAATTCGTCTGAATGACG